GCGCGCGCGCGCGCTCCCCCGGCTCTGTCCAGAGCGAGCGGCGGCGGCGGCGGGCGCGCGCGGGGAGAATGTTGCCCGGAGCGGTGCAGGCTGCACAGCTGAGCGGCTGGCCAGGTGAGCGGGGGCAGGTGAGCGGGGACCGGGGGGCAGGTGAGCGGGGGCTGGGCATGGGGTGCACCCCCCTCCCGACCGGCGCTGCAGCTGTGCAGAGGGCGATGCACTGGAAAGGGCAGCATTGATTCATTCATTAAACTAATGAGCATTAGGGAGAGTTCTCCGGGAGGGCAGGTGCGTGCATGGACGGGACCTTGGTGGGGAGGGCAGAATAGTTGTTGCAGCAGCGAAAGTTGCGGGGGGAGGCTCTGTACACATGCAGCGCGAGTCCGGATTTCGGCAGGACAGGAGAGAAGTGAACTAGAAGAGCCTGATCCAAGCGGGACCTGCTCCTGTCCGAGCTTCCAGCATCCGGGGGGTTCCCGTGACGTGCACTTGGAGAGCCGGGGGGGGGTACATCCTGAGTGCCCCCTAAACACTTCCACCCGCAGGGCCCAGGCGGCCGGGACAGGGGTGGGTCGGATTCTGTGCTTCCCAACCATTTGCTCTGCCATGATCTCAGACAATAAGGGGCTGGAGCTGGAGAAACAGGCGGGATTCTGCTTCCTCCTACGCTGGTGTAAACCAGGGGTTGGAGCTGCTCGATCTGGAGTCAAAGGTGTCGGAGTGAGGGAGTGAGGACGGGAGACCAGAATCGGGTCCGTTGTTTGTAAGTGGCTGTCCGCAAGGCAGCCCTTTGGATGCGCCGGGTTGTTTTCCTGCTTTATTGTTGCTTCCTGATTTGTTTGCATCTTGCAGCTGGAAATACCCAAGGTTCCCAGGAAACAGGAGTTTGTAGGTGTCTCGCTACATGCAGACACCTTCACCCTCCCCAGCTCCTTCCACTCCTAACCCTGCAAACTTTCACTCTTCTAAGGAAACACAAACTTTTGCAATCTCAGCATATTTGATTGAATCCAGTCTCCTTAAAGATCACTGCTGGGTGGCTTGGTCTTTTATTTATAGGTGTGTGTGATGCCCATGAGGGGAGATCAAACTTTATTCCTATTATTTTTTCTTTTAAAAAGAGTGAATTTTGCAAAGAAACCTGCTTTGAAGAACTTAAAATAAAACATATTGGGGTTTTTAAACTCCCTTTCTTGTTGCACTGGATGAGTAATTCATTTCAAGAACCATTGATCTTCAAAAAAGGGCGGTTAGTTGGTGACGTCTGTGCAGTCTGGATTTGATTGCTGTGATAATAACTCCCATGTCCTGGGTTATATTAGCAAAGTTGTCGGCCTGCTGCAGTAAGTACGCAAAGTCATGTAATCTACATACCCTGCAGTTTGGTGGCTGGCTGTGAGGGTGCTCCCATCGGTAGATTTCATTGAGTAATGGAATGGTTTATGTAGAAAATCAAGCCTGGGCTTTCTGGCTCTCTCCACAAGGGGTACTCAGCTTTTAAAGAAAAAGCCTTTTGCTGAGTCCTCATGAAAGCTTTCAGAGTAACAGCCGTGTTAGTCTGTATCCGCAAAAAGAAGAACAGGAGTACTTGTGGCACCTTAGAGACTAACAAATTTATTAGAGCATAAGCTTTCGTGGACTACAGCATATAGAATGGAACATAAGTGGGCTGTAGTCCACGAAAGCTTATGCTCTAATAAATTTGTTAGTCTCTAAGGTGCCACAAGTACTCCTGTTCTTCTTTTTTCATAGAATCATAGAATATTAAGGTTGGAAGAGACCTCAGAAGGTCATCTAGTCCAACCCCCTGCTCAAAGCAGGACCAACACCAACTAAATCATCCCAGCCAAGGCTTTGTCAAGCCAGGCCTTAAAAACCTCTAAGGATGGAGATTCCTCCACTTCCCTAGGTAACCCATTCCAGTGCTTCACCGCCCTCCTAGTGAAATAGTGTTTCCTAATATCCAACCTGGACCTCCCCCATTGCAACTTGAGACCATTGCTTCTTGTTCTGTCATCTACCACCACTGAGAACAGCCAAGCTCCATCCTCTTTGGAACCCCCCTTCAGGTAGTTGAAGGCTGCTATCAAATCCCCCCTCACTCTTCTCTTCTGCAGACTAAATAACCCCAGTTCCCTCAGCCTCTCCTTGTAAGTCATGTGCCCCAGCCCCCTAATCATTTTCGTTGCCCTCCACTGGACTCTCCAATTTATCCACATCCCTTCTGTAGTGGGGGGACCAAAACTGGACGCAATACTCCAGGTGTGGCCTCACCAGTGCCAAATAGAGGGGAATAATCACTTCCCTCGATCTGCTGGCAATGCTCCTACTAACACAGCCCAATATGCCGTTGACCTTCTTGGCAACAAGGGCACATTGCTGATTCATATCCAGCTTCTCGTCCACTGTAACCCCCAGTCCTTTTCTGCAGAAGAAGCTTTGCAAAACTAAGCTTTGCTTAGTCTACAGACTAAGCGCCATGTCTCCAAGACCCTCAACGTTCATCAGTGCCCTTTCATAGTTCCCATATAGCCTCTCCTTGGTATATTGAAGAGCCCACAACAGAGCCACAGAAAAGCCACTACTTTTTAACCTTCTGGGCAGCTGCTGTTCTTCTCAGCTCTTTAAACTGGACACAGCTACATGCGATCATGTGCTTGTTACATGGTTTGATATATAGACTCGTAGACATTAAGGTCAGAAGGGACCATCATGATCAGGGGTCCTCAACCTTTTTCTTTCTGAGGCCCACCCCAACATGCTATAAAAACTCCACAGCCCACCTGTGCCACAACAATTGTTTTTATGCATATAAAAGCCAGAGTGGTGTTAAGGGGTAGCAAGCAGGGCAATTGCCCGGACCCCACACCACAGGGGGCATGCAGAGCTCAGTTGCTCAGGCTTCTGCTTCAACCCCGGGTGGCAGGGCTCAGGGCCCTGGACTTCAGCCCCATGCGGTGGGGCTTTGGCTTTCTGCCGTGGGTCCCAGCAAGTCTAATGCTGGCCCTGCCTGGCGAACCCCCTGAAACCTGCTCGTGGCCCTCCAAGGGGCCCTGGATCCCTGGTTGAGAACCACTTATCATGATAACCTAGTCTGACCTCCTGCATATCACAGGCCACAGAACCTTGCCCACCCACTCCTGTGATAGACCTCTAACCTCAGGCTGAGTTACTGAAGTCCTCAAATTAAGTTACCGAGAATCCACCATCTTCACTAGTTTAAACCTGCAAGTGACCCATGCCCCAGGCTGCAGAGGAAGGCGAAACCTCCCCTCCCCCCAGTCAATCAATGAGCAGTTGCCTGATGTTTGGGACTCTCTTTATTACAGTATATTTCTAAAAACGTTTCTGCCACTGACCATGTGATACGGAGGGAAACAGAGACGACGTTTTCAGGAAGTCATTCCTGCTCCCCATCTCACCATTGCTCCACAGCCACTCCAACTTCAAGCCAGAGGTGAGTGTGCCATTTCCCCCCCTCATACACACACACATCCATCCTGTCCCTGCAAGAATATCTCAGGAGTGTAGCAAGAAAAACATTTCTTAAGTCAGAGCAAATACCAAATGTTTTTCTTTTCACCTGCTTGTTCACTGTTCATGAGTGTTTGCAATATTCTGTCACTTTGAGTAAAACAGAGAAAATAGATACACAAGAGAAAAACACTGAAGATTATTCTACATGTAGTTTGATTTTGTGATAGTTTTGAAGAAAATTCTTTTTAGCTTTGGGGTTTGGAACATATATAACTAAAATTTTCAAAAGTACCTAAGGAAAAAATTTTCAGATGCTCCTAAGTTCCATTTACAAAAAGGATGTAGGGCCCGAATTTTAAAGGTATTTAGGTGCCTAAAAATGCAAAATGGGCTTTTCAAAAGCACATTAGGTGCTCTCCTAGCTGCATCATTATGCACCTAAATATCTTTAAAAATCTGGCCATTAGGTGAATAGTCACAGTGTTACTTTAGTGTTTGGTAGGTATTAATGAATCCTTTGCATTCCAAGTGTTCGGAGAAAAGGATCAGAAGGCAAAATGTTGTTTTCTTTAGAAGACATTCTCTTACATACGTTACTCTAGCAGTGTGGCTATTCTGTTATTCAGTCCTCAAAACTTGGTGATATTTTTCAGGTATTGTGCATTCATGAGTTGCACACACAAATACAATAGACATGTGCAATCCTGAGTTGTGTGTGTAAAAGTATATGTGCGTGCACAACCCCAATTTACATGGTCTCATTAAGTGTTTTTCACTCACTTCACAATAGTTAGGCCTTCTGACGGGCAGGTACCGATTGGGTTTACAAAGTGCCTAACTCTCATCAAAAGTCAGTGGGAGTTAGGTGCCTAACTCACTTAGGCATTTGTAAATCCCACAAGGCACCAAAATACTGTCATGAATTGGTGCTTGATATCTAGAACGCTGTCTTCCTGAATAAACTGCAGTGAGCAAATCTTCTTGAAGACACACCCAGAGCAGATCAGTTGAATGTGAAGCTGCCATTTCACTCCTCTTCTTTTCTAACCAGAACACCATTTGAACTTGTAAATGTTGTTGATGGTTTCAGCTGAAAGTAGGCCTGGGTTTAACCATAATTAACAAGTTCTTTGGATCAGGACTGTTTTCCTGCTCTGGCATCCCTGTGTACCCCACCTAATTCTCTACTGGCAAACTTCATTGACTCCAATTGCCTGATCTGCACATGCCATAAGGCAGTGAGGCATCTGTTTGTCCTCCTGTGTGCCTACAAGCAGTTGCACCCAAATTCATTGTGGACAAAACAAGTGAA